TCTCTATTGCCAATAAATGCTTCGGTAAGGTATTCTCTGTTATTTTGTAAACAATGTAAAATTAACGACGTCATTATAGAATGCATATTTTCTACCAAGAGGAAGGTCGGGGTTGACTTTCAAAGCATTTTAGTATATTTGGTAATCTCCATGTTAGCTAATTTTGGTTGGATCAATTTGTAAGTTATATACCCAGTATAGCACTGCAAGCACATAGATTGGGGTCAAAGGTATCTCTATTGGTGTGTTAGCTGCTTTGTATATACTTCTGTGGATTTGTATAAGAGATAGAGAATTGAGCAAGAAGAAGAAGAGGAGGTTGTATGGACTAAGACTAAAAATTGAAGACAACAAAGTTGTATGGGCTTACCAGGCAGTGATGAGTTTGAAATTATCAAAGACTATTATCAAAGATCTATACCAACTATACATAAGTTTCATAGCTCACACTAGATTCAGATTCATTCTCTAGTTTCCTCAGACTGGATTTTCTCTGGTTTGAACCCAGAATTTCTCTGGGAAATTCACAGAGAAATTCTCTGGAGGATTTCTTTGGAAAATTTCTCTGGGCAAAGAATTTCTCTGGGAAATTCCCAGAATTTCTCTGGGTTGGATTGAATTTTCTAGCAGCATCCTGGTTATATGATTATGAATTACAAATTCTTCAATTCTACCAAAAGATTTCCTTAATGTTATTGGATGTGTGAAACCTAAGGAAAATTTCTTTAATGTTAAACATGCCAAAAGATCCATGCTTGAAACCAGAGAAATTCTCTGGATCAACCCAGAGAGTTGAACCCAGAGATGTTGCCTTCCATAATATATACCTTTGACTCTAACAACCAAACAATGCATAAAGCTGAGAATTTAATTACCAGAGCTAGAGCTAGATGAAACGAGAGTGAGCCAAGCAAGAAGAAAACGAAGCAGCATTAGAGTTCGCATCTTCTCTCTTCTTCACATCTTTCGGGGTTCAAGATTGTGCTGGTGGTTGTTGGTGTAAAAAAAAAAGAAAAAGAAAAGAGATACACACACAGCAACACACAAGCTCCCTCACTCTCTCGGTGATGGTCTCGTCCTCCGTCGACTTCTTCTTGCAGATCATGCAAATGCTGTCTTCGTCGCAGGGGAGGTTGCTAGAGTGTGCCATTGAAGAAGGAAAGGCAGGCCGGGTTCCGACGATCATCTCAGCTCTCCATGATCGATCTGTATTTCAGAAACAGAGTGATGATGATTGCGTTTCCGATCACGAACAGTGAACTCCGTGTGTGTGCGTGTTTGATCGTGGTGATGAGTGAGAGTAGAGAAAATGAAGGGGGCTGAATTTCTCTGTGATAGATGGGAGGGACCTTACACATCAAAAAATAATATCGTGGATCTCTTCCATTACAAAAAGTGGGGGAGGGACTCTAGACAAATTTTTCCTAAAAAAAATATCATAAAAATTACCATAAAAAATTTTAATCTTTGAATTATCCAGACTGTAAAAAAATGATGTATTATTGATTGATATTTGATTGATAGATTACAAGATTGATTAATTACAATTCCTATACAATCTATATATAGAAGAAAATGTGGTAGTAGGTGTAGTGGAGGTGATAGTGGGTTAGGTGAAGTGGAGTGTGTTGAAAACTCGGTGAAGGTAAAGATGGGAAATTCTAACAATATCAATAGAGACTATCTTGGACTGCTCAGTTGGCACAGTCAGAATTTGGAACTTTGAACAAGTATTTGTCCAATTCTCTGTCAAAATTTGATGATTTAAAAACCTAACAGATGACTTAACCTACAACATTTTATCAAACTTATTTTAAGAAAATTAGGAATCTATGTTTGATTTCACCGATATGTTAACTCCCTGTTATTGAAATTTGAAAGTAGCATGAGAGATCATTTGATTAGTTAGATGTAATGTCAATGCATAGGTACAATAAATTTTCAGCCTTGGTGAAATGTTCAGTGTGCCTATTTTCTTGGCTCTATCATCCTCTCATGCTTGGGGTAACAATGAAAATCTTGGGATTTTTTTTTTTTTGGCTTCTTTTCTCTCTTGTGGATAGGCTCCTTCCACATTCCAATTGCTTGGGGGAAAATACAAATTTTCCTTCTTGTTCTTTCTTCTGCCATATCAAAAATGTCACTTCGCATATGCTTTTCCAGCCAACAATCTAGCAAAGTACGCAAAGACTGATTCCAATAAAGAAGAGAAAACCAGTTTCTCTTCCTCAAATGCTTAGATCAATTAAAGGCCACGTTAGAATTTTTTTTCTTGTTATATCTATTTATTTTTCTTAAATTCTATGATTGCCATGATGCTGTCATTTTTTAGGAATTTCTATATGAGCCTTTCACAGTATTTTTCATGTGTATATGCATTTCTCTATCTTTGCATATATGTTGTAATTCTTTTGGAGGTTTGATTTCTTGGACAGTTGAATTGAGATTCATTTCCTTTACTTTGTATTCGTGTTTCACTAATATTATTTACTTTTTTGATGGTTTTTTGTGGAACATGAGATTTAGCCTTTCAAATTCTTAGATTTCTTATATATATAATTTTTTTTTTATTATCCTGCATCTATCATCTATTCCTATTAGTGGTTTAGTTCTTCCATCATTTTTAGTTGACTCCTTATAATAATGGCTTACCAATTAAGATTTGTAATTTTGTACCGGTTTGATGTTGGCATACCAATTGAGTTTAGTGATTCTCTGTATCAGGGAATTTACATTCTGAGCAAGGCAATATGAATAAACTACAAACAAGTCCAACCTGGAATTTTTTCTCCGATCAACCAATGTATGTGCAAAAGAAGCTAATAAAACATTAAACCATTCAAAACTGCTTTTGTTTATTTCTATCAAATTCATTATGTGCTCTCATGTTGAAATTTGTGGATGTGCCGTTTTGTTGCCCAGAAATGTAGCAAGCAAAAATGTAGTCTATCTTTTTGGTTTTAGTTTTGTCTGTGTTTTATTTATTATTTATTTTTTATGTCATACTCATCTAAAATGTGTTGTTTATGCGTCATTTTTATACTTCATATTCGCTTTTACAAAAAATCGGAACTGGAACTGAAATTACCATTAATGGGCATTAAGATTGCACGACGGCACCCACTTCCACCTCACTAGCAAATGCGAATGCAAGGCTATCAGGCCCTCCATGAAATGTCTTTTAAGTCATTCTTCTTTGTTCTGTTGTTTTTTTATGGTTGTGTGTGATGTTTAAAAAATCATGAAAAAAATATATGTTTTCTCTTGTGGGTTTAAAACAGGAGACATCTGGATATCTTGAGCTCCAGCACCAAAAACTCCTGGATATGTCGTAACAGCCTCTAGTGGTGCCAAGGCATGCCCTTGAAAGTGGCCAGACTTAAAAGGGTTAGTGATGGCTCCTGCAAGAATTGTTTCAATGTTCATAATATGATGCCAACCCCATTAGGTGACAGAAGGGCCTGACCTGTTGGAATAGCAAATGGTTAGGGATGTCACTTCTAATGTAATTGTCATTGCAGATACCTTTGTTCATCTTGTGCCCATTAGTGGTATTTTGATATCACCATAAATTACAGCTATATTCTTGTTTTTATGCACAAATGTAAAATATTCAAGGTTTTTTTATCCGTAAATTAACATATTATTCTCAAAATTCTGGTCATTCCTCTCTTCTCCGCTGCGAAATGATATAAAATTCATTTGTCGTTTACAAAATCTAGGTCATATTCCACAAATTTGGTTATCAGTTTATCTTTGGCGGTTCTCTTATTTATTTATTTATATTATTATATCGTGTTCGCTCATATTCAAATAAAACCCTATTCTCTAGTTAATATTACTGATGCAGTTTCCCAGTTGCTCTTCTGCAGAATTTCCAGAATTCCAGTTAGAAGAGACCATTCTCTAACAAGCTAAACAACCCTTATACTGTGTATTTTACCTCTATGTACTATGCTATTTTTAATGAAGTACCAAAATGAATAAATAAATAAATTCATGTCAAATATATGTCTTTCTTGCTTATTTTGTTGGGGAAATATCAAAAGGGTGGGAACATAGTAAAATAATTTTAAATACATGAAAGTATGACATTTTTTTACACAAATTAGTACATCATGAATTTTAAATTATTTTACCATCTTTTCATTTTTTTAATATTTCCCCTATTTTGTTTCGCCACTAATCTTGAATTCTTCTTTCCTGCACTGTGAAAAGTATGGAAACAGTTTCTCAGTATGTTGGAAGTAAAATTGTATACATTTGATTGTTCCCAAACCTTAGCTGTTCTTAGATAGTCTATAACTCTGCTTTTGATGTGTACAGGGAATATATAATAGCACTCAAATTGTCAATTAAATTAAGGAAAATTTCAATTCTTTGCTTTGCTTTGTGGACCCTTGGTGGTCTCAAGCAAGTTAACAGAAATAAAACAGAATTAACCTATAAACAAAAGAAGGTTAAATGATAAAAGCTGGATTTCAACCAGTAACAGTGAAAGGAATTTAACGTGGACATTGTTTTACCGATTCTCTCCCCCACCCCCTCTTTTTTTTTTTTTTTTAAAAAAAATAAATTTAAATTAAACTCATTCTCCCATACGAATAGATGTGCACTCAATTTTCTGACACAAGTTAAAAATAAATAAATAAATAAAACCCTGAACCAATTCCTACATGTGCTTGCTGATAACTGTTAGGTTCGTTTTTGTATTCTTTGTATCATCTTGAAGCTTCTTCAATAAATGTGTGGTAGTAGGTGTAGTGGAGGTGATAGTGGGTTAGGTGAAGTGGAGTGTGTGGTGAAGTGGAGGTAGGTGAAGTGGAGTGTGTAGTGGAGTAGGTGAAGGTAAAGATGGGAAATTCTAACACAAACAATAAAACACCACACATTGATCAAGAGATAAAAAATTTTCATAATACATTTCATCATATATTTTTTATAATCCGTAACATCATTTATTTTAAAATATAAAATAAATAAAATATAATTATATTTCACACAAATTTTTTTTTTTATTACATTTCAAATTACTTTCAAAATTCATGCAACAAACACCATATGAACAACAGCAACAGAGTTTCTTCAAGTAGTCAACGACTTGTCAGCTGTCCAAACAATATCCGTCAGCGCAGGCCGAAGCTCCTTGCTACAAAACTGATTATACTCAAAGGTGTCGCCACCGCCCTTCTTCACCTCCACCACCGTAAGCGCCGCCGTGACAGCAAACGTCTCCGCCTCAATCGCCAACTTCCCTTTCCTTCCACTCTCATTCCCAACCAACCTCACCTTCGACTCGCTCTTCCTCACGCTGAACTCCGCCGCCTTCCCCACCTCCTCCATTCTCTCTATCACTCTGCTCGCCGCCGCCGCCGTCGCAAACCTCATCTCCTCCTCCTTCCTCTCCCCGAACAACGGCGACAAATCGAACCCCTCAGATAATGAAATTATATGAAACGCATTCAGTGTCTCCTTCTCTTTCTCGTCGTCCGATTCAATCCCATCTGATTCACTCATTCGCTTCACGTTTTTGGGAATTGTTTTGTTGAATTTAAACCAACTTGTGTCCATGAGTTCTGAAGCTGAGATTCGTGTGATGGGATTTGGGTCGAGAAGTCCATTCACGATCATCTGGGTTTCCGGCGAAAACCATGGTGGGAATTTGAAATCGGCTCTGTAAATCTTCTTATACATTGAGATTATGTTCTTGGATTGACATGGCAAATACCCAGAAAGTAGAACGAAGAGTATGACTCCGCATGACCAGAGATCGGCCTTTGCTCCGTCGTACCCTCTTTTTCCGATCACCTCCGGCGCTACATACACCGGAGTTCCACACGCAGTGTGCAACAATCCGTCCTGCTTCAAATTCTCCGAAAACACCGATAATCCGAAGTCTGTGACCTTGAGATTGCCATTTTCGTCTAAGAGGAGGTTCTCGAGCTTCAAATCGCGGTGGTATACGCCGCGACTGTGACAGAAATCAACAGCGCAGACCAACTGTTTGAAGAAATTCCGAGCTGAGTCTTCCTTCAATCGGCCTTGGGAGACTTTCTCGAAGAGTTCGCCGCCGCGGAGGTACTCCATAGCGAAGTAGATTTTGGACTTGGTAGCCATGACTTCGTGGAGCTTCACGATGTTGGGGTGATGAACTTTCTTCATTATCGATATCTCACGCTTCACTTGATCCATCATACCAGCTTTGATGATTTTGTCTTTGGAGACGACTTTCATGGCGACAGTCTCGCCGGTGAGGAGGTTTTTGGCGTGGTAGACTCTGGCGAATGAGCCGAAACCGATGAGGCGGCCGAGCTCATACTTGTTATTGAGGAGATTTGATGTGGGCTGATTGGATTGAATGGGTTTGGGGGTTGTGTCAGCCATTGAAGGAGCTTGAATTGAATTGCAGTGATTGTATTGAAATGGATTTAATGTGGGTTTTAAAGGGATGGATTTGGAGTGGATTGGGATTTTGGATTTAACCGTCTTCGATGCGTTTGCGGTGGCAGGTGCGATCAATGACCTTGGTGTTGGTTTGAAGAACTGTCAGCATTCCCAGGTAGAGGTTGAAATAAATCAAGGAGGTTTGGCTTCTGTTCCATGCTTCTCCTTCTGCATCATATTTTTATTTTTTCTTGATTCAACTTCTGCATTTTATAAGTACGAGTGGACCACTTTCCGTTGAAAGATGAGATTCAAAAAAGTTTTGGAAAAGTTATATTACAAATAATAATAATAATAATAATAATAATAAATAATCAGAGTTTATAATTTATAGCAAAATAAAATTTTATTTTAGGAGATTGACTAATAAGTTCCATATTTTAGATTTATAATTCATATAATTTCATATTTTTTCTTGTGATTCATTTAATTTTTTTGGATGTATAATGACTCATTTACCCACTATATTAGAGTGTCACATTTAGAAAAAATACATTAAAGAGTTTTTTAGTGTCACGTTAGAGTGTTTAAATTTGAAAAAAGTACACTAAAGAGTTTTAAATTTTTTTAGAGTGTTATATCATGAGTAATATTAGAGATTTCAAAAATTCTACCAAATTGTGTGAGTCTCACACCCATGTGAGACATTTGGTAGAACTTTTGGTAAAATTTTTAGAATTTTTAACATTTTTGGTTATAGCATGCCCATCACATGTCACGTTTGAGAAAAGTATACTAAGGAGTTGAGAAAAGTATACTAAGGAGTTTTTAAATTTCAGAATGTCACATCATACCCGCCACGTTGTCACATTTGAGAAAAATACACAAAAGAGTTTTTTTTTTTTTTTGAAGTGTCACATCATATCTATTAGGTTGTCACATTTGAAAAAAGAACATTGATGAGTTTTTATTTTTTTTTTTGAGTAAAAGTTATGGAGTATCACATCATATTCATTACGATGTCACATTTAAAAAAAATACACTAAAGAATTTTTAATTTTTTTGAAATGTCACATCGTTGGAATATCATATTAATACTTGTCACATTGAAGCATCACATTATATCTATCACATTAATAAAATGATATAGTTGTCCATCAAAACACTACCAAAATAAAAAAAAATAGGACCACATGAAAAAAAAGCATCACATTATACCTATCACATTAATTTGGAAAGTTGAAGCCCCTCCGAAAATCAAATACTTTTGGTGGCGAGTCTGCAAGAATACCTTGGCTACTAAAATTAATTTACAAAAACGCCGCTGCTTCCTGTCTAGTGTTTGTCCCATCTGTTTGAAAGATGATGAATCGATAGAACATGTATTGTTCGACTGTCCATGGACTCAGGCAATGTGGTTTGGCAGTATGCTTAATCTCCGCATTGATAAAGGGATGGTGACTAATGTTGTGCAATGGACAGTGGATTGGATTACGGCTGAGCGAGAAGTTAGAGCAGCGAGCAAGTTACTGAGTCATGTTTTCCTCATTGGATGGTACATTTGGAATGCACGAAATGACTTCTTTTTTAATCATCTCCCAATCAACCCAATTGAGACGCTCTCCAAAATAGCATGGGCCTGGTTTGAGAGGCAAGATCAGTGCCACAGCGTCCTCACTTCCAGTAGTGTTTCCCGAATCCCAGAGAGCCATACGGACCAGAGATGGCATCCACTTTGGTTTGGAGAATTTAAATTAAATTGCGATGCAAGCTTCAGATCAAAAGGGGAAAAAGCTTCAGCTGCTGTCCTCCTTCGAATCTCAGAGGGGCACCTGGTGGATGGCATTGCTACTTCTTTCTGATCTTCATAAGCCTTTGCAGCAGAAGCTCAGGCAACGAGGCTGGCAACTAACTGGCTATTGCTTGTCAACTAGAATCTGCTACCATTGAGAGTGACAACCAAGAGGTTATCAAACTGGGAGTTTCAGAAAAGGTTCCTCCTTGGGAAGTTCTGGCCATTTTTCTTGATATCCGTCATCTTGTAAGTCAGGGGGGCAACCTTCAGCTGCGATGGACTCACAGAACCAACAATAGGGCTGCCCATTGGGTAGCTCATGCATGTGTTCATAATGACCTCCTGTAGGTTGGGTTTCAAATCCTCCGTTGGCTCTCTCTGATATTGTTAGGAATGATGCCCTTCCTGGGCCCCTGCAAGGTTTTTTCAGTGTAACTCTTTTCGTTCAAAAAAAAAAAAAAAGTTTTCATGAACTACAAGATTTACCCGATTCCTTAGACGAACTCTATCATATCACTTGTTGTGTTTGATTTTTAAAATTTATTTTCTTAATTTTTTTTAAAAATATAAATTAATTTAATGAAAATATCTTGTTCATATAAAATGTTTTAGTATTTTTAATTTTTTTAATTGTGTGAAAAATATTAGAGATAACAACCAGACGAGTTTGTATTGTATTGCTCCACTTGTACCTGTCCATACCATATTGAGAACAGAGGACAAATCAAGTGTGGCTACGTGGTGAGGGAGGAGCAAGGAGTTGATTAAAGTTTGTAATAATTCATAAATTATATAGTATACTAAAGATTATAATAATTTATAATTAATAAGAATTAAAAATATAAGTGAAAAAGAAATAAGTGAAAATAAATATTAAATGTAATATTTTATATTTTAATTTTATTACAATAAAAAAATTAAATTATATATAATAGTACATAATACCTAGCAAACATGTCAAAATCAAACCCCGATTTGAAGGGAAAAGTTATTTGATAATTTAAGGGTGTAACCTGATTAATCATAAATTATTATATTCTTAATTATTCTCTTATGATTTAGGATTATTTAAAAAGGATAGTTAAAAACTATATTTTAACTTTTAATTTATTTTAAATCATATCATCTCTCATATTTTTACACCTATTTAAAAAAAAATTCAAAAAAATTAAAAAAATTAATTTTTTAAATCATCTTTTCAAAATAACCCTCGACACAAACTTATAGGTCACAGCCAAACTACAATATCACATGACCATTTATTCGTGATGATAAATTTCAACCACCAAATAACTTGGCCATGTGAGGGGGCTACGCAACCCATCAGCATCGGCATCCTTTCTTAAATGTCTACTTGCCCAGTGACAGAACTCACTGGTCCTAAATCTATTTGGGAAATTATTATTATAATATTTTTTTTCATCATAAATTTGATTTATGATTATTCTATTAAAAACATTAAAAATATGTTATTATACAATTTTTTTTACATATTTATCATTTATAAATTATAATATTTATAATATTAATTATTACAAATAATAAATAATTAAAAATAATAATAAGTTACAAACAAACGTATAGCCAAAAATCTTTTTAATTATAACTAAAATAATAATTATAATAAATCATAATAAAAAAATTTAGCTCTCATACTCAAAATCTCTCATATATTATCATATCTCTCACTATAATTACTGTGTGAGTAGATTTCTGACCACACTGTCAAATTAGTATTTAACTGGAGAGCACTGACAGAATAGATAATGCCTGAATGACCTGTAACAGAAAGATGAGATTCCGGCGGTGGTTCGTCTACCCGGGAGCACTCCGACAATCAAGTCAGTTATTTCTCAAAGATAGCAAAAGTGCTTAACTCACTATTCAGAATACAAAAAGCGTACCTTAAACGCATGGGGGTGCCTCTCTTTTATAATTATTACAAACCTAATCTCAATAGAAGCCTAGCTTCAATGGACTTTGGATTATTGCTAATCTTGGACTCCCAGTAGGGTTGTGATAAACTTTCTAAGAGTCTTATCTTTATCCAAACTGAAACCTTCCCTCGTTCTAAGACTCTTGTTCCTTATCCGCTTATCCCGGATTCCGGTTTTCTCGTAAATAACCTCGGCCTAATCAAGATTACCTCGGCGTCATGATCAGGACACGTGGCACCTCGGCTGTCACTTCGGTGTTACCTTGGCCATGTGTCGCTACTCAAAAATTATATCCCCATAACTGCCCCTAGGTTCTATTACCTTGGCATCCTGAGATGATGGAACCTATATCATTCCTTCCCTTTAGTACATCGGCTAAGCTTGCCTTACCTTTCATTCCCGAGGTCACCACCCAAGGCCCCATATGACTAAGATCTATAATTTGTTTTCTCCAATGCCTTAGAACAAATAATCAAGTCGGTTCAAATTATTTAGCCGAGATCATTCTCATAGTCGAGGTCTTTGCTTCATTAAACCATCCACTTCAAGAGATTCGTCATGCGAATGAGCTGTCACACACAGCAACCCAGCTGTTTTAGCCACGCGTTTTCTCCTTACTGGATTGTACTTGATACGCGCCTTTAAGTCATCTTGCGTCTGGGTGCGCCGTTTGACAAGCACGTCGCCTTAGGCGTATTGATGGTATTTTGCCGCCATTCTTCGCGTTTGATCAAAATTAACTCTCTCTCTCTCTCTCACATTCTTTTCACTTTTTCACCATCATCTTCGTGCAAACTCTCTCTCTCTCTCTACTCTCCCAAATTCGCCGTTGCTTCAAACCTTCAAGCTCTGCAACTACTTTCATTCATCCCCTCCGGTGAAGCTTTCGCTGACCTTTTCAGATTGCAACCATTATCTGACTCCGGTGTACTCAACACCGGTTTCACTCCTTTGGTAAGCCACTGTTCCTTCTTATTTAAATTTCTTGTTTCACTTCATAGAACTCCACTGTTGTACTCGTTGCCTTTGCGTGTTTGCTCATGTCTTTGATCGTTAATTTGTGTCTTGGATTCCATCATGTACTTGAGCATATTCGTTTTATGGCTCTATTTTTGCCCAATCCATTCTTGAATATAAAACGCACTGTTTGTATATCTGTTGATTTTTGCCACTGTTCTTGGCCTCACACACCTGTATAAACTTTATCACTGTGTTCTTGATGATTCATCACTGTTCTTGATTTTGAATCGCATTCCTGTTTCTGTTTGCTATGTTTTTTCCAGATTCCTACCTTCAATCCCTTATTTTTATAAACTTAGGTTTGAGATTTGTTTGTAGAGCTCACAAACTTAGGGAAAACTAAAACAAACTTCACTTCAGATCCTAAAAAATCTTTAATCCAGTATTCGTTTTGGTTTTAGCCAAGGTCCTTCAAACCTTCACAAAACACTTCCTTTTGAAATCCAACACTTTTCCCTAAGCCGACATCATGGGTATGTGGAGGTATAGGGTAGACACCCCGACCAAGCTAGAATATTTCAGGCAGGAGTTTTCCATTCCAGCCGACGTTCATCTGAGGTTAGCTGAAGAGGATGACTCCATCATGCCCACAGTCAACTTTATACCCTTCCCAGTTATAGCTTTCATAGAGTGTGAACTTAGGCTCTCACTTGACATCCTGTTCCGAGAAATCCTCCGTTACTATAAATTGAACCCAATGCAGCTCGCTATCAACTCCTACCGTGTTATCAACGGTATAATAGCCTTAGCCAAAAAAGAGAATACTAGGGTGACCTTAGTCGACATCCAGTACTGCTACACCATGTGTGGCCTCAGGTTAGAAAAAGGCTATATCTACTACCT